GTGATGTGTATGGAGATGTTATGGTGATTATCCGTTGGGCAATACAGATTAAGGGCTCAGTGATACGTTGGGCAAAGTCCTTGACCTTGACAGTCCTTCCATCCCTGAAAGTCAGGGCGGAAGTATAAACGTTCCCATGGACCAGGCATGGAGGGTCACACAAGACCACTCAATGTTAGGATCACAATGGCTCAACTATAAGTGAATAATATAGAGGTCTTGCTGTGGACAGGTTCCTCTCCTGGACCCGAGTCGATCTGAACCTCTCTGGGACCACGTTGTCATTTCAGGGTTGGCTCTCGTAACGGAATGTCAGAAAATCCCACAACAGGCTGATCAATGCTGCAAGGGCCATGTTGAAGGTCAGTGAGGCAACATCAATCCAACATTGAAATATTTTCATTTTGAAACTCCCATTTCATGTATCTATATATTTTTTGACACATCATCTGTTGTTTACAGAAAGATATCCAACAAGATTATTTGAGCCAAATCCATTAGTGCATTTCTTTGGTATAGCAGTATACAATGCATGTGATTTCGAAGTCCGTTTTTCCAAGACTTCGCCTTCATAACCCTCACACGACTGATGTGGATTGAGTAAAATGATAGCTCTTAGCTGAAGTTTTCAGATAGTACTACATTTCACCCATAACTTGTAATGAAACTTCATTCTGTATCTCTGCTGCAGACTACAGATTTAACATTAAATCTCAGCTTTAGCATTTCCTACTCCTGCTCCTTTAAGGCGGCAATTTTTCACCTTTTTTTTTTTCCATGAAACCTCTGCTTCACACACACAGCTGTATCATACACTCCCTTAGGTGCGTTCAATTTAGTCACTGCACAAGTACACTAGCGGTTTGACAAAGAGGTCATGACTGGCCTTCCTTGCCTTGTTAGGCGCTGATGTTCTTATTAAAAGTTCATTTATTTGGTTGAAGGACTCCAGAGAACCAGCTGGGCCCCCTGTCTGCGCTCATCAGGGCTTGATTTGCAAAGGAGGTGCCGTCGTCACGAACAAGTGCACAGGTTTCTCCGGTGGTCCTGCCAAACAGTAAAAGCTCTCAATTAGGAGCAGTGCTCAATCGGGCTGCTTAACCTGCCTCAGAGCTGGGGAGGTCATGTTCCTGCTGACTGCACAGCCTGCACAGACACAGGAACCTGCCAGCAGTCGCCCACTCTGCCTCCTGTGGCCTGTGCTAGACTGAGCAGAAGGGTGGTGGGGGGGGAGGGGATGTAGTAAAAGAGAGATCGCAATCGTGTTCAAACGGTTCCCCCCAGAAAACTAGTAAACCTTTTTTTACTGTAAAAATCGGCCCAGAAGTTGCAAGATTTCGGGTCATTAGAAAATGAATGCCCCCCTCTCTCACCTCACCTCACCTCACCCAAGAGTGCTTGTTAGGAATGTATGGTTGTGGGTTCAAATCCCAGGTGGGTTTGGTATTTCACCCTGTCCTGTTTCCAGAACGCACCCAGTTGTGCAAATGGAGAAAAATGTGAGTCTCTTTGGTCCAACGAGTAGATGGCAATAAAACCATGATTCTCCCACTCCTGCTCTGGTAAGGAATAAAGATGTGGCGTGTTTAGAACGATGGGATTCTGACAGGCTCTCGTTGAAGTGTTGTTATTGTTTTTTTTTAACTTTGTGCCCTGCACTCTGCTGCTTTTACTTTCTTTGATTGAAACACGAGACGACCTGACCGGAATTGTTCATTCGAGAAATGTATCAAAGTCTGGAACGTCAAAAGTTCCAGAGTCTTGCAAGTTTTTGACATTTTAGTTTCTGTTTATCTTTTGGGCACTTGCCTTGTGGTGTCCAGTTTAATAAATATGGATTTAGAGAATTGCACATATCTACATACAGTACTGACCTTTCATATCAGCATTTGAACATTTTTTGTTTTAGTGTGGATTAAGCAGTTTTTTTTTTTTCAGACTTTCTGGATAGTCTCCTTTAGGAGTTCTTACAAGAGTCCTGTAGTAGTTCAGTTAAAGGGTTAGTCTCTATAGTTAGCCTGTGCGACAGCTAATGTAATATTATAGTCACTTCAGACTTGAGCAAACTACATATTATGAAAACAATAAAATATAGGACAAAAAAAATCATGTTGTTTCCTCCAGGTTGGTGTCTGGTGAAATTGTGCTCTAGTCATCAAGTGATCAGCTGTTAAATGTAGGAGGAATCTAGGATGATGAACCATTTTTGGTCAATGTGGCATAACTGGCCAGTATTATGAAATAATGCTTTTATACTGGAACTCCAAGACTCCAGGTTTTTCTTTTGAAATCCTTTTCATACCAACTGTACTTTCAGTTAGGTTTCAGAAGTAGAAGGTGCCTGAAAAGCACTGCAGAAATGACTGTGTAGCTTGTGGATTCAAAGGATTAATCATCAACTGTTTAATCTGTTCCATTGACACAGTCCCTTTGCATTATAAAAGCATGCATTCCCTTTCTCTTTGAACACCGCCTGTTTGGGTTCTTTGTTAACTGCGGAGTAAATTGAGGTCTTCTGTTTTAATCCCTTGGGTAAATTCATTTTCTCTGTAAATGACAGATTGCTGATGGGCTTCTCCTCGGAGTAGTGACAATGTATCTCACCCAGCTCTTCCAAGAAAAATCTTACTGGTTTATGCCATTTTGATTTTCTCCACATCAGTATGCCCCTGTCTTTAGATTGCATTTGGACTCTTGTAATGCCTGTTAAACATGGAAAGTTCAATGGCAGTGAATGTACAGTTTTGTTAAGAGATGCATTTAATGTATGTACTTTGTCTGATGATGCTTATTTCTACCCATTTGCACAACATTCTGAAATTGTCTAAGTGTAATAGCTGAACTTTATAGAATATATTTTTTTACTCCTTCCTGAAGCCGGGTAAATGTTTTTTAAATTTATTTTCAACATACATGCTTTTGGAGATGTATTAGAGTCTGCAAGTTATGTTCAGGGCTTTGTTGGTGCTGTCTTTTTTTTTTTACTCACTGACTTCTTAGCAGTAGCCTTTCACTGCTCCTCTGTGTATAAGCAAGCTTTGCTAGTTCTTTTTGTCGTCTGTGCAGTCTGAGAACCTCCCCCCCCCTCGTCCATTCTGTTGAATGAGCTGTGGCAGGCTTCTTTTTTGCAGTACTTAAACCCTTTCTCTTGCATTAGGAGTGAACCTTCTCGGCAGCGTTGAGCACAATTTTTGTTTGCTGTTTTATCTTGAGCTTGGGTATTGGGTTTCCGCAGGCTTAGTTAAATCTTCTGAAAAGTGACAACGCATAGATGATGAAACAAGATGTCTTTCAGCTTTGGCATTTGGGTAATGGTGGGAGTTTGCTCACAGTGTCCACACTGGAAGGCAGGGTCTCTGTGTCAGCTCAAGCATCCTCAAGACAGCCTGTGAAAGGGCAGTCTGTGCGAATTTTGCTGTGGTTCTCAGATGTGGTTTAGCTGTATTTCAGGAGACTGCTTGAAACTGACAACGTAGAAAGTGCACCTGTCATACTGACTGTTCTCCGAAATTTCACTAAGAAAGAGCATAACACAAAAAGCAGCTTCAAACTCCTGTCATCTCAAATTTGGATATCGTGTGGTTTCATAATGCTTTTTTTGGAAATCTAAATTTAAGTATGGGATTGTGTGGCTTATGTTTAACTTTCTTCCTCGGCAAATGCACTGTGCCTCTGGGAATCAACCGCCAGCAGTGTAGCTTAAGGAAACATTAACCTGCAAGGGTATTCAACCTGTGGAAAACATTCTCCTTTCGTGAACCATAATCGTTTTGCTCATTCATTTACCTTTTCACAACAAACTAAAGGATGATCTCAGAGTACACATACATAGGAAAGGTTTAAGTTGGCTTGTTTAAAGAAGACGTCTTTCATCCATGATGGGTAATGTGGAAATAGATAAGATGTGTAACCTTTAATATTTTCTGTTTTCTCAGCCTTTTTTTCTGTCATTTCTAAAGAGAATTAAACGGTTTTAATAAAATATCATTCTTACCCAGAATTCATCCTGGGCGATTTAATTAGCAAGTTGTCTTCACAGTCTAATTGTTTTCAAAATAATGAATACCTTGAATGCAAACTGCTTTGCTGTTTATTAGCTGAATTCAATTTGCCTGACAACTTTGCAAACGTATTGCCGGATTTTTAAAAATCCATTGTTTGTTCCTTCACGGTATTTTTTTTCCTCCACATTTCCTCTGAAGAGTAGTACTGAGCCACTCCCAAGTCAGAGCTACTGATGGAAGACATGCCCTCACTTAATCTTCTCTGCGTTTCTGATTTGTCCTTTAAAACGTATGCATGTAGACAAAATCTGAAAACAACGTGTGCAGGTAGAAGTCTGGGTGGAGGAGTAATTTAATTTTGCCTCACACTTGGGTTTTTCGTATGCATGAGAGAAAAGGTCTGCCTGCAGGCTAGGACAGATTGACAGCCTTGTGTGCTCTTGGATTTCTGGGGCCTAGAGGAAATGTATATACTGACATGAAGGTCAAGTGGACACTTGTTTTCTTTTGTCGGTATTTTATTCACCTTCCATACTAGCATATGAACCCACCGTTCTGAAGGTCATTGGTCCAATTACAGTCCAGGGGGAGTCAATCAAAGGGCCGTGGTGGCATTTTAGATGCTAGTTTTACTACAGTAATTATGCTAGATGACATTCACAACACACCAGTATGGGGAAGCTGTATGAGAGAGAGAACTGGATGAACTACTTTTAAAACTATTATCCGTGAGAACTGAAGGGCCAGTTTCATGGCAGTACAGATGGGTTATATCTGTGAACTTTGCTTCACACTTTTGTTTTGTGAAGTGGCAAGCTCATAGAACCAGGCTCCGAAATATTCAGTTGCAGTTTTTTTTAACACTTCAGAATCCAGGTGTTTTGAAACATTTCCTCCTTTGTCAAAAATAAAGCAGTACACGGTTAATACCCCCCTTAGATACCGTTTCAACGCTTTTTTTTGTTCTGTCTGACTGCTTTTTCCCACAATTCGCAGGTTGATGCTTCAGCTGCCTCAGGAAATGGGGTTAATAGCTATAGCAGCACGGCAGACACAAGGCAAAGGTCAGTAGTTTTCCATCACTTCAGCCAATCACAGATTTCTCTCTTTTTTTTCTTTCTCTCTTTTTCTTTGTCGTCAGCTTCTGGGCATTAAAAGCCTCAGGTTATTATTTCTCGAGGAAAAACAAAACAGACTGTTTTAAAAAAGGATATTGATTCAAAGCTTCGGCAATAGCAACAAACTGGTAATAGTAGTTAAAGTTGTGTAGGGTGTGCCTCTTCCCTCCGTTTCTACTACTTGCAGGACTGTGAAGTATCAATTAAATGTAAGGTTACAAAAAATAATGTCACAGTCCTTGCAGGAAAAGCTATTGCCAAAAATGTGACTTATTTATGACATGGGTCTTTCCACTGAGGCGAAGAGGAAAAGGTTCAGATTCTGCGGTCAATACTGTTGCTCCCTCAAGCTTGGTACTTCTCTCGGACAGCTCCCGTAAAAAGCACTGCTACGTTAAGGGGGAACCTTAGAGATCATCATGATTCTCCTTAATTGATTTTTTTTCTGGTTTTATTGAGGATTGTTTTGAAACAATATACAGCAGTATCTCCCAAACAAAATTACAGTTGTGTTTCTGATCAGATTCTAACACAGTGATGCAGAAGAAAAATTGAAGGTTTACATCAGATCTTCTCACTGATTTGTGCTTTGTGAAGCTGGGTAAAAGTACAAATATTAAATATACAAATATTAAAAATTAGCATACCCCATTGAGGATACCCCCAACTATTATACGTTAGCTATCAGAATGAGGATACCCCAACTATTATACTGTACATTAGCTATCAGAATAAGGATACCCCAGCTATAATACATTAGCTATCAGAATGAGGATACCCCAACTATTATACATTAGCTATCAGAATGAGGATACCCCAACTATTCTACGTGAGCTTTCAGAGTAAGGAGTCCCCATTCTAGCAGTGTTCAAGAGAACGTGGAGAGACTAAGGGCGCTGCTAGTCAGAGTGACGGTTAGGGTGTCTGGATCTTCTTCCCAGGTCGTGGGGGCAACGCGTGGCTGAGCCCCGTGGGTTGTGCCATGTTCACGCTGCACGTCCGCGTGCCCGTGTCCTCAGCGCTGGGCCAGAGGATTCCCTTCCTGCAGCACCTGGCTGCCCTGGCGGTAGTGGAGGCGGTGCGCACGCTCCCTGGATACGAGGTACAGTTCATGCCAGAACATCAGAAAGGTGCCGACCGGGCCGGAGGACGTCCGGCCCTCCTGGCCTGCTGGGTAGCTGGTCGTCAGCTGAACGAAGGATCTCGCCCTGCTGCTCCTTGAGAGGAGCCAGAGTGTCACCTTCAACAACATGGCTGGGCAGCTGCTGCCACACTCTACCAACCCTTTGGGTTTTAGAAGTGCCCCCCTGTTTTAAAGACGTAGTTCCAGGTAGTTTCCATCTGGGCCCTCTGGCTTGTGTTTAACAATTCTCAGCCTCAGGCTCCCGCCTCCCTGTAGATTGTGTGTCTGGGGAAAAAAATCTTGTTCACAGGTTTCCAAAGGGGAAGTGTATGTTCTTGGAGAGCAGGCTGAGTTCTGGGATCCAGCATCGCTGGCTGGTTTCAGCTAAATGTGACTGGGGTTGTATAGTAGCTGGCCAGCAGGGGGATAAGTTGCCCAGGACAGCTCCAGTGATTTACCAGCTGCCTGCAGGCCCTTCGGTGCCATCAGTAAGAGACGCACGAGGCCTCCAGTTGGCATTAGCTGCCCTGTTGGGCACCATTGAGTTAGGAGCTTATCAAAAGACAAAGGCTGTTTAGACGGGCATGTTGGAGAGGAGCACATTCTCATCTCTCACTCTCCCCTGGTAAAGACCCCTGTACCCTCCCCTGTGGTACAGGGGTCTTTGCTGGAAAAGGAGCCAGGTGTTAAAATAAAAGGCAAATCCAAATTGGGTGAGGGGATAATAAAACAAATTGGCAGAAATAGATCACGTACCTAATTCATAGCACCCTGCATTTCCTGTTCACAAATGCGATGTCCCAGGATCAAACCTCGAGGTGGAGTATGGAGAGGTGATTAGGAACATGGACTCAAAAAGTGACAGTTGTAGGTTTATATCCATTGCTTTTGTACTTTTGAGGAAGGTTTGGGTGAAAAGATTTCACCCAAATTGCTCTAGCAGAATAGACTACTATATAAATAAATGCCGATGCAAGTTGCTTTGGATATGGCATCAGCCCAATACGTTGGTAACTAACCTCATGAACGTCTGGTGCAAAACAAACTCGATTGATTAATCCTAAAGTGCTACAAAGAAAACCAGATAAAACTGATACATGAAAGACTGTGAACTGTGCATTGCATGCTTGCTACGCAGTGTTAAGTACTCATGGAGTGCTGTGAGCCAAAGAAAGCTCTGTACTGAAAAGAAGTTTGTGGTCCTTTGCAAAAGTGTTTCAAACCACACCTGATGCATGTTGAAGTTCATTATTCTGAGCATATACATATATAGATATTTTTCACTAATCAACATGGCTTAGTTCTCCTGCCGCTTGATGGAAAACACCCCTGTTGTGGAGCGACCTTGTTTATTGCCTTGCTCCTTGGAGACAGGTTGTGGGCCTGGAAGCTCTCTGCGCAGGAAGTATTAAATGAAGTGAAAAAAATAACAGGCATCACTTCGCATAAATATTTTTGTTTCCTTCGTGAAGATTAAAAGCTGACGAGTGTGCCCTCACCGTATTTTTCTGGAGGTCGCACAGTCCTAGTCAAGAAATCACGGAAGGGGGATGTGGATAAATGAAAATAAGCAGAATAGCTGCTTGTTCTCAACTACAAATAGGCTAAATGTTCCTTCACAAGACTGGAAACCCAGAGGAGCCCGTCGTAAAATATATACAGTCTGTCACTTCAGATTTAGTTTTCTCTGAGGGAATAGTTTGACATATAGTCCTCAACACATATTTGTTATTTAGCTCTGTCTGCGTATTCCCACCGACAATGTAAATATTTCCTTTAGAGTGCAGATTGTAGTACTAGATAGTGCTTCTGAAGCATACGCTGCCTTCACTTTAAATGAAGTCATTTCAGAGGACTGTAGTATAAAGGACTTGTAATGATTTCATACTTTGCTTTATTTTACAGTCTAACACTGCAAGGATTTCATGACTGGTCTTTTTTCTTAAGAACATGAGAGTGGTCTTAAAACGAGAGAGGCTCTTGGGCCTGCTCAGCACCCTGATATTTGATATTTGATAAACGTATCTCATCCAGCTGTTCCTCCATAGAAGCCAGAGCTATATACATATAATATATACATATTTAACATATAGGCCAGAGCCCCTATATGTAAAAACATGTCTCCTGTTCTTGGCACTTCCGTGGAGTTGATTCTGATTGCATCCACTGGGTCGATTTGGTCAAAACCTTTGAGGATTTTAAATACTTGGATACTTAGACTCTTCATCATAATCGCTTCTGATTAAACCCAAAAGATGTAGCCTTTCCCATGTTCTGTATGTCTTTGTGGAAGACGATGTGATTGCTGCGCTCAGTTGGAGAGGGAACCTGTGTTTCTCTCCTCAGGACATTGATCTAAGAGTGAAGTGGCCCAATGACATTTACTACAGTGACTTGATGAAGCTGGGCGGAGTTCTGGTCACCTCGACACTTATGGGATCAACCTTCCATGCGCTCGTTGGTAAGGTTTCTTTGTTCTGGTCTTTGTTGGAAGGACATGAATTAGCTAGAGTTAAGACCTCTGGGGGAAGAGGCCTTGTCATGGCATTTGTCATGTTCATTTCCAGAGCTGACGTTCTTTATGAAAGACAGCAAGGCACTGTGCATAGTTAAATGGTGACAGTTCTGTCAGGTTAGTTGTTTGCCTTCATAGATACTTTGTGCCCAAAACAAAAAAAAAAAATGCATCTTTTCTTTTAGCACTAAGAAAGTCCTGATTAGGAACATCACTTGTGCCTTCAAATATAATTCTGATCTCTACCAGTGCTGCCGTTTGCACAGATATGCTGACCTAAGCCTGGTGCAGTTGTATGATAATTGCCTCACAGACCTAGCTGTTACGGGGAACCCTCCTGTGGTATACTGAATGGAAGCTCATTAGGAAATGTTGACTGGAGATCAGGAATAATGGAAAGCGAATATGAATGAGAATGTGAATGAGAGGTGACATCTGCAAACTAGAAGACATCGGCTCGTATGCACTTGATCTTGAAGTAAAGGGAGCAAGAACTGTTCTCTGATCTCTCCTCCGCTGGTGTCTTGTTGGTTCTCAGGCTGCGGCTTCAATGTGCGCAACAGTAACCCGACCATCTGTGTCAACGACCTGGTTGTTCAGCACAACAAGGAGAGAGGGACTGCCCTGGCTCTTCTGGACACAGCTCAGCTGATAGGCCGCAGTGTCACTCTGCTGGAGCAGCTCATCCAGACCTTCCAGGACCAGGGCCCTCAGGGCGTGCTGCCCCTCTATTACAGGAGATGGGTTCACAGGTAGTCTGGTCTAAAGCTGCCTTTAATTTCTGTTCCCCTTTACAGGGAACGTTTGCGCTAATTATGCATCTTTAAATAACTAGTTGATCATTCTAACCAGCTGAGGTATTCCTTCGTTTATGAAACAAAACCGCAGAAGACTGTGGAGTTCCAGTCTAGGGTGAGGAGTCTAATTTGCAGAAATTCACAAAGTCAAAAGGGAGTAAGGCAGAGATTCAGAATGGCATTCATTTCTCGCATTGCCTTTAGACCAACTCATTATACATTAAACTTAAACAAACACATTATAATATGTAGGAATTACATCTCTACATTATTTTTATTTCAGGAATCAAACTCCAAATAGGATCAGGCGTTTTTTTATTCCTTTTATTGTCTTGGTTTGGTTACTGATCATTGAAGGTCTGTTTTTAAATAAGCCTGTAATACAAATGTTTATTAATACTCTTTACAGTAGTAATAGTTTGAGTATAGTATGTTTTTTATAATACTTGCTTTCCATTATGCTTGAGGGAATGTGTCAGACACTATATTTGCTTGGACTTAGTGCGACGCAGCTCGTGCAGTGTCCTGGCCAAACTTCGCCTTGGCCTTTACCAATCATGGCCTCCTAATAATCCCCATCTATGAATCTGCTTCATCACTCTGTTCTCTGCCCCACTCATGGTTTCGCTGATTTTTGGTGAGCGCACTGGTGCACTATGGCTGCTATTGCATCACCCAGGCGAGGGCTGCACATTGGTGTTGGTAGTGGGATTCATCATTACCTGTAAAGCGCATTATGTGGAGTGTTCAAATAAAAACTATAAACATGTCATTAATATATTATTATTATCAGGCGGTGGAGAGTAAGGACCTGTGTCCCAGGTAGCAAACCCCAGGTCTCTGACGCGCGTCGCCTCTGTCATCCCAGTGGTACGCAGGTGCGCCTATGGAGAGAAGACGGACCCCAGGTGGCTGTAGTGGGGCTGGACGACAATGGTTTCCTGCAGGTGGCGTCGCCGGATCGGCGCGTCGTCTCGGTGCAGCCCGATGGCAACTCCTTCGACATGCTGAGGAACCTCGTCGTGGCCAAGCAGCACTAGGGGACTCTCCTGCGGCCCTCGCCCTCTGCCCCTCTGCCCGGGGAGGCTTTCCACATCTGTCCTGTGCTGGAATTCCAAGTCTGCTGAGCACTTTGAAGCTGTATCTTAATGCGGCCCCCCCAAAAAAATCATCATATGTTTTAAAAATAACTAGGAAAAAAAATGACAGGAAAATTTTCCAGCTAATTGCAGCTTATTTATTTTGTTATCCACAGTATTTTGCAGTGAACACTTTTTGTAAAAGAATTTTGGACGTGGGAAAAAGAAACTGGAACTGCTTCTGTAAAACCACTTATTTTGGAGCGTTCTGTGGGACCTGCTTTATGAATCATTACAAGACGTTTTTGTTTCTGTAGGAGTGGTGTTTGGATAACCTGTTCAGCTGCAGATGAGCTCTGTACATACTTCTGAGAGTTGCCGATTTGGGTTATTTTTTTGAAGAATGTGTGAGGTCACCCTTTGGCGTAACAGGGCCACGTTTTAACGGATGTCATTTTCTTGACCAACACGAGAAGATGTTCAGATGTGCAGTAAAAAAAATGAATGAAATGAGTTCATGTACACTACACATATCTCACTCTTGTATAAAATATTAAATTGATTAGTTAATTTTCTTAAAAGCAAACACAGTTTAGGTGTTGCTTTTTGTTTCCTCCTTTTTCCTCCTAAATTGCCTTCAGCCTTTTTAAAATGAATATTTGAAGATTAATCTTTAAGTGTCTAAATTTGAAGAAACTATTTTGGGCCTTTTTGTGCGCATAACGTCTTCCGATTCCCAAAAGTTGTATAAGCTGATTTGTGAAGACGATGCATGGCTTCAGAGTAAAAGTGTGCTCTTATAATGCTGACATCTCTCAGTGGTCTGGAAATGTACCAACCTGAATTGCTTAACAACATTCAGATGTTATTGACATGCAAGGTCACTTGGTTTAATGCAAATTTATTCTTAAAAGTGCAAACACATTGTAATAGACTGCTAAAAGGTGGGATCCGATCCAGGGAGGGAGAGAGTGTGTCTCATGTAAATAGCTTTTGTTTAAAGTTTGTACTTTTAGAACACACAAATAACCTGAGCACTTTGCACTTACAATCATTAATAGCACATAAATGTGGGGCACTCACTTGGAATGTCGAATTCAAAATGACTTGAATGAAATAAAACAGACACACAAATCAATAGACCACAGGAGAGTTTATTCCTGTCTTTCTAAAGTATAGCTAATCGGTTAAAGGCAAATATTTTCAAATCTTTTGATTCTAAAGAATAATTATCTTAAATTTGTTACAGTATTACTGAGATTTACAGTATCATTTACTAGACAACTTACTTTGCTACTCAAATGTCCGTGTAAAGCAATTTATGATAATTGTCCTGATTTCATTTTATAATAGATATTTTTTTCAAGCTAATTTAGTGTATTTTGACTCTATTTGAGCCTAAGACTTTTGTTGGCTGTGTTGCTGCAAGACAAAGACCTAATCTTAAAAGTCTACATTTACAAAGAAGTTGAATGAAAGTCCTGCACTGAATTGAGCAAATTGTGAAAAACTTTTGTGGCCTCCTTCAGAATGTGAGTGCAATTTGAGGTTTCTGGCAGCTGAAAATTGTTAAGGGAACAAAGTGCTTTAATATATGTTAAGGGGGAAAAAAAAGTCAGTGCACATACACCATGTCAATATAACTGTGCTTGTCCTCTGTATAAGAAGCTGAAGACAGTGTCCTGACAAAGATCTGATAGGACCTGAATCAAGTGTACGTAGTGCTCGATAAGTTAGCAGAAATTATCTTCCTTTTTAGTCAACTTTATTGGGGACATGAAATTAAAAGTTTGGAACAATGACTCAAAGTAACCTTGAGTGTGGCCAGTTCCAACAAAAAGCAGTGCCAACTGATCATGCAACTATACCTTGAAAAAGCATTTTTCAGGTCATTTGTTTCTGTTCTTTGAAACCATTTTTATTACTCTTAAATGTTCTGTCCACCACCTAGATCTTTAGTCTGAACCCCCATTTTTCACATCTGGAACATCTGCACATCATCAGGACATGGCTGGGTTTCAGCTGTCTTATCAATGGCTTGTTAAATTACCCAGGCTGTACGGATCCACAGAGTCCAGTATTGAGGACTTGCAGCCACCAGGACCAAGTGTTGGATGTAGATCATCTGTAGATCTACATTCTCACACTGCAAGCTGTGTTTGTGTATGTAGTAAAAGGATATTTAAATAAACCAAGTTTAATGTGAAGTGCTCTAATTTTGTTTTGATTAGGCTCAGAACTGGATCCTGGCTGGACAGACTTACCAGAGTGGAAGGAATCCATAATTGTTCAATTAACAGCAATAAAAACAAAATGGAACTCAAATGTGAGTGCTAGAGAAGGTTACAGTTCCTTGGTGACAAGGATCTGACCTTGTAGTTCCGAAATGTTTTGCCTCATTACCACCTCGATGACTGTTTTAGAAAACATTATCAGTCTGGCTTGAGGCATTCTCATAACTTTTTTTTTTTCCACAGGAAACCCTTGTTCTTGTTGAAAGATTGTTTTACGTGCTGAAACGTTGCTGGAAAAGTCCCTGGGTTGCAATTTATTAAGGAATCGGTACAATTCAATAATGTGATTAGAAGCAAAAAAGGCAATTCTCAGAAAATGAATGGTGATATTCAACAGATAGTGCTAAGAGACAGTCGGCCATCTAGCTTACTTACTGTAAAATAGTCTATTTCCCAGTGTTAATGGGTCTAGTTTTCTACCAGGTGATACTAAAGCTACCAGATGGAGAAACTGTGGTGCTTCAATGGTTGGGGTTTAGCTGTAGAGGAAGTATTGGCCTGCAAAACAGCTAAAAGTATTTTTTTTTCCACATGTAGCTCAGCTTCTTTGTGTTTGCTGTGCAGGACAGTCCTGCGGGGAATGGCTAATGAGAACCATGCTGTTGATCAAGTGTAGCCCCGTTTCTCAGTCAAAGTGGCCGAGAGCACCGATCGGTGGCTGAGAATAATGAGGTGCAGGCCAGCCGCGGAGCACAGGTGGACGCTGGATGAGTGGCGAATGCAGATCCTCTGGGCCCTTAGGGAATCCAGTCCTGATCTGGCTCTTTGTTTGGCTTGCAGAAGACATGCTGTTTGTCTTCGACACTTCGGCTCTTCTTGGCCAGACCAGGCGAACGTAAGTGAGTCTTAGATGCAGCACAGAAACCACTGGATGCTTCCAGATTAAAGCTTCAAACCCCGAATCGTTTCAATTTTTTTAAAAATTGAGTTATGCATTGCTTAAGAGCCAGTTTTCTAAATCTGAGACCTGTCTTGCCTGTGTAGTGATTTTCGTATGTATGTAAATATGGAAAAATATTTACAAGGTTTACAAGGTTCATGGTTTCGTTGACATGATTGCGCAAAGGCAGCCAGACTTGTAAGAGGCACTGAGGGAACAAGTTGTGTAATGGACAGTTTCTCTGCCATTACGAGGCTCCAGATTTCTTACATTTACAGCATTTGATTTATCTGTACTTTAAAGAGGAGGGGGTGTGTTCATTGGATCTCAATTAAAAGTAATTAAATAAAACAATCTGAATTGTAAAACAATTAACATATGACCTATAATAAGCTAAAATGAATATGATCAGTATGCCTCAGCATAACAGGTGGCACCCCAGACTTCATTCAGACACCAGAGTCATGCATTTGCCTCTTCAACACACCGAGCTGGGCGGTCAGGTCAGGACATCTCCTTGATTTTGTTTCTCTCTGCGGGGTAGCGAGGCGTGAGGAGCTGCAGAGAAGGTCATTCCAGCTGCCACCTTGCTGCCCAGCCACTTGCAGTAGCCACTGCGTTGCCAGGGTAGGTCTCCACACCCAAACCCTGACACCAGCAGCTCTGCACTAAACTACATTGCGCAAATAGCCCGTCTTCTGATCCATAAACGCTTAACATCTCAATATCCCATTAAACAATTTCGCAATGAGGTCTTCCCAGGTCAAAAAAAAAAAAACATCCCAGTGCGTCTCCCTCTAATATTAGCCACAAATCGATCTGAATTCTCTGGAGACTGGTGCATGTGGGAGGAATCCCTTTAATTCACTTTAATGGAACCTGGATCTGGATAAAATGTTTTAATGATTGACGTGCAGCATACCTGTCTATATTTTGTATACCAGCCTGGTTTTATCAAAAGCTGTTCTATATTGTAAGTTAGTCAACATCATACTGAGGAAATTGGAAATTTGGATATTTGGTTGGAGGTAAGAGGCAGCAGTTGTGAATGTGTCCTCATTGCAAGGTATCCTGTCAGTATTACAGTGCAATGCAGTAGGAAAAAAAGATGAGGAATCCTAAAATGGTCATATATTATTACTGAGTGTGTAATAAATCTCAAGAATGGCAAACAATGCAGTAAAATATTTGTTCTGTTGCTAGTGAATTGGATAAAATTGGTTTAGTCTGTGTTTAGACAGATTGTGCTTCTTTTTCAGCCTTACTTCATCCTGACAGCAATATGATGCAATAATGTATTGGATGTTAATCTGGCACATACTGAAGCTATGCTATGCTTGCTGTATCACTCATCAGTCGTGGAATTTTTCTTGTCACGTTAGTCTAACAAAGTCTCTTAGCGTTACAAGCATCTGTGTGATCAACATGCATCTTGAAAGAAGACGAGACAGATGGATTTTATTAAAGCATTTCACAGCCCTAGGGAAACACCCTGAGTATATTGAGTCTTTAATATGAAGAGCAATCCCAGGGTGATCGATGATAACTGGTTGATGCAAACCAGGAAGATTTCTCTGTGCTTTTAAACAAACTAATAAAATCCAGAAGTCACTTCATACGGTACAGTAGGATTTGATAGAAATGTTTTTGTAAGAAGGAAGGAATTTAGAGTGCATTTCTTGGCGTGTCACGTTGAGGGATGTTGATAGAATTAAAATCAATTCTGAGGGAAAACAAAATGAAAACCTTAAAGCCAATATTAAATGATTTAAGTGAGAGAAAAGTTGTTCCCGAATAATAAACTGAAGTCTGAGCTCTCGCTGAGGAAATCAAGGACTTTCTGTTTATTTGTAGTGATTTTAAAATGTAGTGACTATTTGATGGAGAAAACACCTTCAATATAGATTGGAAACTATGTCTTAAGAAATGAAAATGCTACTACATTTGGCTAACGCCATCCAGAAAAAAGTAGAAGTGGGGACAGAAAATGTAGTTCTATTAGCCATTACACAGTCACTGCATAATTGTGCATTCAAATTCAGAAAAATAGTTTTCAACAACTGACTTGAACATCCACATTCCTTTTTGATACTGTTGAATTATTTTATTTTATGCATGTTAAGAATTCTGTTTTACATAATAAATAAGCAAGCTGCTATGTATTTTACAGGAATAAATACCGTACAGAGTTGTTTTCTGATGACGGGAGAGAGAGGGGAGGAGGGAATGAGGTTCCCCAATTTAAATTTACAATGCAGAGCCCTGGCGAGTGTACAGGCAGGTTACAGAAAGCCCTTGCGTCCGGATCCAAGAGCTCTCAGTCCAAGAAGGAAAAAAAGCGGCTTCAACAGCCAGTGGCTGTTCTGATAAATTTGTCTTTTTCACTGACCAAGAGCACTTTCAAATGGGAAAAAAAGCTCATGATGTTAGAAAATGCTCATCTTCAAGCTTATGGGATGGGTGTTTGTACTTGCTGATGACATTGGAGATGGAATGTATGGATATATGATACCCATACAGTACATGAATTATTACCTTAATTTTCCATTTCAATTTTTGCCGCACGTTGATGTATGAAATGGCAAGTGAAGAAGAAAAACAGGAAATGTGATTTAGCATTATGCAGACTTTCAAAAAAAAGATGGCTGCTTTGGTTTGGTGCACGTTATTGCTTTTGTTTACCTAACAATTAGTATTGTGTGGCCTTGGAGGTCTGCATGCATGCCCATGAGTTTTATTTCATTGTTTCAGAGCACAGTTTAGTCCTTCCATTTTTACATCTGCAAGAGCACCAGACTGGATTTGAAAGCACTGTATTTTGACAGAATTTTTTTTAAAAAAGAATCTGTGCCTGCAGTCCTGCTCGGTTACCATTTTACATGTTGCAGAGGAGGAGGTGGAAAAACTGTTGGGTGAAAACAAAAAAAAAATCAGTAAAGTTATGGATGCCAGAGGAGTGGACTGAAACCAGAAGGTCCTGTAAGTCAGGGTGATTAAAGTTAACGATTTACTCCTTTACCAGCAAAGATGATCTCCACTTAATAAACAAGCTACAGTCCACATTCCGAGAAACTGCGCTATTTAATAATAAAGCTTTACTTAGACCATGGGCTTATCATGAAAGGCAAATGCATATGAAAGGAATCTCATGCTCTGGTTTCCACATGCTGTATTAAGCAGAATTGCCACTTTGTCAGGACTGAAGTAGTGGGAAGTGATTGATTCTCTCCCCTTTCTTCCATGATGAACTGCACAAGGTGGACAGAATCCTCTCTTCCTGAGGAAATCCTCTTGACACCTCTGCGTGTCTCGGACCTGACATTTATCGATTTAATTATGATGCTTTGGACTGAATTGAGAAACCAAGGCAGGCTCCTGTTTTGTCTTTTTTTAAAGGCTACCCGTGGTATGTTGTATGTTGCCTTAACACTTCATTCCATTATTCAAAGTATAAAAAAAAGGGGGGCGGAGTGGTGGCTCTGTGGCTCAGGATCTGCGCCTGTGGCTAGGAGGTTGCCGGTTCGTATCCCGCGGCCGGCAGAGGAATCCTTCTCCGTTGGGCCCCTGAGCAAGGCCCTTACCCCCAGCTGCTCCAGGCGCTAAATAAATGGCTGACCCTGCGCTCTGACCCCAAGCTTCTCTCCCTGTTTGTGTGTCTCATGGAGAGCAAGCTGCAATAAATTGTATATGGCTAATAAAGTGATCTTATCTTAAATGTCTGAAATTTCCTAATCATAAAACATAAAGAATCCATGTTGACCAGAAAGATTTAAAATCATACTGCCAGAACTGTGCCAAGCCTAGTCCTCTCCTGCTTTGTTAGCAATCTCTTAAGATTTGCCATTCTCTGGGTGGGATGACCGTAGACTGCATGTGTTCTGAAAGTGGGCATGTCTTTTCCTTTATTATCTACCAGGCTTGCAAAAGCAGACAAGCTCAGTGCTCTCAAATCACAAATAAGTTTGGAACTCCACAATAACTTACAAATTCCATTTCCCTCTGTAGCCTATACCTCTTATGTGTTGGTCACATACTTTTCTGTCCTTTTTCTACCTTTAGTAGAAGATGTGTACTGTAAATGTTGGCTCAGATTCACTGAAGTACGCTGTTGAAGGTTTCTCTACCACTATTGGCTTTGAAGAGCCTCTGTTTTAGGTCGATGGGCCCTGCCTCTCCAGCCCTCCCTGGTCTAGTGCTACATTTTTTCAATACTTTCCCTCCCCCCCAAAAATGCATCTTTTTAAATTTGTGTTGTGACATTGCCTTAAATGTGTGATTGTAAAAATAATGTTTCTTTAGGCACTAAACCCGACTTTATCATTCACACCCCTGTGCGTGAGCAGGTTGAGTGACATTGGCACATTAATGTGTATACAAAGTCAGCCATCCACAGATACTACAGAAAAGATACAGCTCCAGGATTTAAAAGCAATACCGCTGGTGTCTTCATCCGACATCATCTGCTACAGTAAGGACATCCGGCAACTCTTTGCGACTCCCAAAAGCAAAATCATCGAGCTGCTGTCCTTCAGCTTAGGGTCAGGCACTGTAAACCGAGCCCTCTTGGGCACCGCGGTGTCACCTGTCATTGGTTATAATGACAGACGTGCCAATATAATGGGGGATTTCTCTGTGGGTCTCGGGCGAGGAGCTAGAGGCTGGGCTTTGGCTTTTGTAAATGTATGGGTTTATCTCATCGCCCCGGTAGCTGTAATTGTCCGTTAAATGGCCCGCTAGTGCATAAGGCGCCCCCTGGAAGGAGCCATGCTTGGCTAAGACGTGGTGGAAGTTCAGTGACACGTAAGGAGCCTGGCTTGCCAAGCCCATTCCCATGAACATCTTCTGCTCCCCGGCGCCCTCCTGCTCCATCGCTTTGGGGGTTTCCCGGTCGCTGTTGTCCATGGCCTCCGAGGCCGCATGGTCGGCCAGCTGTGCGTACTGAGACTCCTTCATGCAGATCCTCCTGGTCTGCTCGAAAGCCCCCTGCGCGGGCGGGTGCTGGCCGAGGCCGTGCAGCTGCCTGGGGCGGTCGCAGTGCGCCTCGCAGCCCAGGGGCTCCTTGGGGCCGCGCATGAAATGCGCCTTGCCGTCCTCCTTAGTGACCTGTTGAGGGGGGTGCAGCCGGGCGTCCGTCTTGTTCCGCCCGGCCGCGTTGTGCTCGTAGGGCTCTTCCTTGAACCTGCTGTTCGGTCTGGAGGAGGAGCAGCTGGAAAAGCCTTCAGGTCCAGCTTCGCCGCTGAATCTTCTGTTGGCCCCCGAGCCTGGTGTTGGAAGAGTAACGGTACATTAGAGCAACTGTAGCCCAGCTGAAGACATCAGGAAAACATCTGTTAAGTGATCCAGCAGACACAAGCCCCTACCCACACTGCCTCACACCCCCCTCTCTGTCAGCACACGTCTTTCTATGCCTCATGAGCGGTACTTTAGCTAATAGTAGTTTTAAAACTCAACGAGTGAGGTAATGGTGGCCTAGTGAAAAAACATGCCAAGGATGAGGATCAAGAGGGGATTATTTCCTGTGATCACTTAACATCACACTAGGTGTATTAGGTACTCTCCCTTCAGAGACATATGGAAGCAAGGGCCATCTTCTTTTTGATGGCACATCTCATAGGATGTCAGATTATGATGCTGAGTGTCCTGCATCTCAGCTTTAAAACTTGACATACTGTAAATGTTTAGTGAAAGATTCTGCGAACTATTTGCAGACCGTATCCAAAATAATTTCATGTTATGAGGAAATAATCCATTATTTATTCTTCTCTTTCCTTCAGCACTTCTCTGTGTTTAAGGAATGCATAAAACATGTAAAAGTATTTGAGTCTGGAAGCCATTGAATATATCATAATGACAACCTTGCCCCGATGTCATTTGTGAGGAAAATGATTTAAACTCCATTATTGTCCACCAAACACCTTCATTTTCTATTCTGTATGTTACAGTTAATTAGTTTACATTTATTCTACCCTTGAGGGTGGTTTAGATCTGACTCAGTTAGACCTCAGGTAAGGGAAACATATTTCCCTTTTGGGCTGCCTCACAGGGCCTTGGATGGGGGCTAGTCCACATGTCCCTGAAGCCAAAGATATATCATCACTGGATCACATTTTATCAGGCTCACAAGGGTCTAAAATTAAAGGCAAGAACAATGGGGTAGTTCCTTACCCACAAGGAATAAACATATTTATTTCCTATGAATGAATTTAAGGAATATATTTAAAGAAAATACACGTATTGTGTCGGTTGTGATAACCGTTTGCTAGCCCAATGATACCGATAGTCTGACTTGTGCTGCAGGGCTAGTACAGTGCTACGGCTGTACGTCATGCATGCTGGCATACGGGGATGTTCACAGTAGCTGGTAACGTGACCGGTACCTTGATAGGCAGCGGTGGTGGGGTGTGGAGAGGTGGACGTCACGTGGGCGTACTGAGGTCTGGACAGAGTCCGAGCCACGCAGGAGCTGGCACAGCTCCAGCGCGCCTCCCCCCGCCCCTGGAGAGAGCTCAGGAGGTGCCGGGCCGCCTGGCAGGGGGAGCTCTGGGGCTGTCGCAGCTTGGAGGGCAGGGGAGGCCTCCGGCCCGTCAGCGTGGGGGAGTCCACTGGGATGTGTCCGTAGGGGTAGGGGAAGGCCAGGCCGTAAGGAGGGCCGCACAGCGCGTCGGCCCCCTCCTGCGCGGGTGCCTGCTCCTGACTCGGGGTCACGCTGTACGGTGGGCTGTCTTTCCAGACGCCTGACTGAGGGATCGACTCCACTTTGTCAGGAAACGCGTTGTACTGCTAGAAGACGAACAGGAGAGGCAACCCAAACGTTATTTTTACCTCTAGGGTGGTTGAACGTGGAGCTACAGCTTCTAAACAAAATCATGAAGGTTGTGATGTTACGTTGGAACCTAGTTGAGAAGATGACAAGCAGTTATATATTATTTAAAGACTATCAGGTATTTTAGAAGGCGTAGTTGTATGGTTTACCTGGGGGTACGGAGTTGTCTTCGGTTTGGTTTTGATTTTGACAGCTTTGGATTTGAGTTGTTTGCGGGAGTCCTGTGAGGTAGGCATTGTGCTCCGGTAGGCAATCTCAGGCTTTGAAACGCTGGTCTGATCGTGGGAGAGCTGCAGGTCTTTATACTCAATCTCCCTGTGGGCAAAGAGCAGGTGATGTTGGCAGGGTGCTCACTAAATTAACAGAGGTATTCCTGAAACATTGGCAGGAACAAACGACCCCGTAAGGAAATGCATTTCATGACATTGCAATTTATCAGGACGCAAAGTACAGAAATGCAAGTCATCTGTCATATGCCCACAGAAATATATAGAATATTCATTATGTAGACAAGTAACGTATATTAATGTTATTTATAATATAATTTTTTGTACATTTGTCATATTATTATTTGTCATTTTAATATTTGTCATTCTATTAATAAAAATGACACAAGTCTTAAAGCATTCCACTAAGTCACCTTAAAAAAACACATTTTTTTAACAACCCCTGTAATGAGAGTCATTTGCCATGATGCTTTTAAAGAGCTTCCAAAGAACAAATGACTTCTCTGGGACTGCAAATTCCCCATATGGAAGTCACCTTAAAATTAAAGGTGGAAGAAAAGTACAAGCGGAACAAAACCGATGAAGCAATCAGATCCCTCCTGAGTCAGGCTGACCTGCCACAGGTCACAGCGGAGGTGTAGCGGAGACAGACGGGCATTTGGAAAGCAAGGGAGAATATGGCCCTGAAGCCCACACAAGATCCCCCCCCCCCGGCCTCGTCCCCGGCGCCGCCCAGCGGACAGACTCACGTGAGGACGTAGTTGACGCTGACGATGCAGTGGGGCCGCGAGGAGCGACTGTTGTGCACGATGGTGGCGTAGCTCTGCACCCACACCCAGCCGCCGTGCTTGGACAGCAGCCTGTAGTACTTGGTGGTGACCTGGCCTTTCACCAGCACTGCAAGACGTGATGAGGCATGTGTGTGTGTGTGTGAGTGTTCACACCCATCTCTGCACACACTCCCTTGCTCAAAACTGCCACAGTACACCTCGCGTCCAAACACCCCAACACAACTGGACACGTGAATTTTAGAGGTGGGGAAAAATCTGAATTTACTGATTAATACCAACTACTAGAATGCACTCAGAAGTTCTGCTCCCCGTGAATGAGTGCACAACGTCACTTTGAACCTATTTATGTCCTTGTTGTAAAAAGCATCCTAGACAAACTGGCATGAATCTGCAAACATGATTTTGGCAATACTGTAGTTAGTTTCACATGTTTCACGAAGCAATGTATTGGTAATTGAAGTCTCCAAGTTGTGGAAGCCTACAGGTTCTCCACAATTGCCTTGTGACTGGATGGATGTACAAAGATAGCGCGCTCTCTATTGTCTGGTTCGCAGTGAAGTCCCTTTTCCGAGTCAGGTGGAAGTTTGACGTACTGTTCTTACTTACGTAGGTGATGGGCATAGCGTAAGTGGAATACGTCACAGCCATGTACATGGTGGTACAGAGTCTTCTCTATCAAATCCTGGGGCTCATAGCCAGTCAGCTCCGCTACCCTGAAGAAGAATGCATGCAACAGTTCGTTTTTACTGAGGAAAATCTTTCATCGCCTGTTCCATTTTCCAGCGGGCACAGCAGTCTCAAGAACTTAACAGGGATGGTGTCCTGTGTGAAAACAGAAGTCCCACAGTTACTGATTGGCACACAGAGGCTGCAGACCAGACAGATGAAGCTTCCTCACCGCGAGTCGAGGAAGATGAGCTTGAGGTCCAGGCTGGCTCGGAACATGAACATGTTGCTGTGCAGCTTGATCTCGGTGATGGCGCTGGGGGGCAACGAGTGCCCCACCGCCACCAGCCCGACAATCTGGTAGCAGGAATCGTACATGGACATGTCCATCATGTACTGCCGGATCTTCAGGTAGCCACTGCAGTGGATCACCTAGGGGACAAGATCACCATGAGGTTAGATCCCCTGGCATCCCTTGGTAGTGTGATCCCCGCTGTAGTGTAGTCATGCCCAGCGCACACAGGCAGTGTGCTTGAGACATGGCACTGCCACCAATATTCCATTATCAGCAGAGGATAAATGTCTAAAGCAAGGAGCATCACAGTGACATGTAGGTTTTTAAATAAGAATAATTTTACTGCATGCTGAAAAGAGAAGAAAAAACACCTGTGAAGCCTTCTTCAGGTGACACCTGAATTTGACAACCAAAGAAGGCTCCACAGCCGAAACGTTGCATTTCTGTTCTTCTCTTTTCAGCATGGAATTAACCTTTACTTGTTCCTTTGCAGCCTATGCATGCTGATGCAGCTCCCTACTTGAACTTATTTTACAGCAGTCCAGTAAACCCATTTCTAGCCCTTCCTTGCAGCTTTTTCGATACATTCTCATCAGCCGCTACATCAGATTAAGTTTTTTCTACCATTTTCAGCCTCCAAGGTAAGAAAGAGGAGGGACAGCTTGGCTCTACAGAGAGACATTCCCTACTTTTTCCATACTCCCATTTATTTCCTCTGTTCCTCTTTATTTACCCAGCGTGCTCTGGTTTTAATAAGATAGCAGAGCACAAAAGCTTTGATACTCTACATAACACCAACTGGGTGTTCAGAACATTTGCAGCACATTAGATGTATTTTTATAGAAGATCTGCACGAGCCCTAGGAGGAGGAGCAAAATTCCTTTCAGTTCATAGAAGTCCTGCATATATTCAACATGTCATTTGATTTCAGTGATGGAGTGCAGTTCAGTTAATTAACATGAGTCAGTTCTCCACCAAACTCCATCACTTTTCTGTTTTACCATCCCAAATACTGTACCACAACAAACAGCAGGTAAAATAGCTATAGTATTGTCTTGTTGTATTTCAAAACCTCCCGAACAACAGGAAGTAGCATCTTGTACACTCGTCTAATACTCTGCAGTTAAGGCCTCTGAAAAGGTATTCGTGAAATAGTATGATGTCTGCGTCAGGTACCAGAAGTGATTTTATTTTGCCTTCAGCGGAAGAAGATGAGAAAACCCCAAGTGGTTTTCTGCCTTTTTCCTTACCTTATAGCCTCCACAGGTCAGGCCGGCGTTGCGCTTAGCCAGGACGCACTTCATACGGAGGAAGAAAGACCTCTCCATTTCATACTCTGCAATCACAACACAGGTGTGGCCGGTTCTCAGGATGGTAAGGAAACCCATGCTGAACTGATTGGAGACGCTGTATTAAAGGTCAGGCCACCATCAAATAAAAAAGTTGCCGTCTTCCACTAGTAAAACCCAATAAAGCATCTTTAATTTGTTTCAGAGGATCTCACGGAATTTCAATTCTGCTGCTGGGCTGAACAGTTTGGAGGTTAGACTGTACATAATCCAGGAGGACCAAAGCCTTATTAAATGTGAGTCTGGCTAGGAAGAGCGCACTTGATAAAGTGGTTTCTCTGACAAGGGGGTTTGTGATTTCTTTTTTTCCATCAATTGTCATTCGTGCGTTTCGTTATCTGAATCTATTGATTAGAAATAACAAAATTAAAACCCTCCATCATCTTTCTCCGACTTCCTATAAAGTAGTACAGCATATTTAAATACCTTCTACAACTTTGTATCCATTTCTTTAAACCACAATTATTCATATTTAAAATACACCTTAAAACTTTGCTTCTGAAATATAGGAAGAAAACTGGTGTATAACTGAGCTTGTCTGTAAATACTGTTAGACCAGCCTGGAACTGGTACAAATAAAATATTCTGTACAGCCCTTGCAAACGGCAGCAGGAAGCCAATGACAGCCCAGTGAAACAACAGACCTGGGAAACTGTTCTCTGCAATATGTACAGTAGCAATAAGTTATTAAACGACTGCAAATGTTTTAGGTCTGTTAAGGGGTGTTAAGCATAGAACAGTGAGAATGAATGAACTGTGAAGTCTGTACCCTGAAGAAAGTGAGGATGGAGGGGCTGGTGGGCACTCAGAACACCTGTCATCTCATCGTGATCGGAGGGGTGGATGTACTCGTAGATACTGTTGCCCGTCAGCTCCACCTGAGAAGAGACCACAGGCATAGAAGTGAGAGGGCGGCCATTTGTAGGGGAAGTATTAGAGAGCAGATACAGTATGACTACTGCACAACAGTATTGTAATGCACTATAGCAAAGCAATTTAAAACACTGTATGAAAATGCTATCATGTCACTTGCGCAGGGTGAAACAGCTAAAATTTGCCACATGGGAAACATGCAGGTATTCAGAACACATGTACACACCTCTACATAAGACATGAGGGGTTGCTGTATAAATACCTGCTTATAGTAGATGTTGAAATGGTTCCCATGCAAATAAACCTGGAAATGACGCATCACATTCAGAAACCCATTTGTAATTCCTGAATGGATATCTTATTGATACACCCTCATATGCTTTTGTTAGCAATATTGATGGCCTGTGCCAATTATCCACAACGCCACCAGTGACCTGTCTCTAGGAAGTATTTTTTATTTTTTATTTTTAAAGGAGTTCGAAAGTGCTTTTGTCTGTCTCCTCCTGGAATTTAAGGAAAAAATAAAAATGACACAGTGAAACAACATCCTGAATGATGTAGTCTTGAGTTATGGGATAGATATCAGTGAGAGGAAATCTGAGATGGAAAATAAGGGGTTGGGTGGCATCCAATTAGGTCCAGAGTCTATCCATGGAACAGTGCTTTGGCCCACTCTGTTTGCATTCGAATCGAAGGATATCGAACGACTATATGACAAGATCAAAATCTATGATCTGTCAGAGCTAATCTGCTCATGCTGAATATGCCTCAGGGGTCATGGGTCCATAATACACTGTTTAATACTGCCACCTGTGAGGAAAAGTAGAAATGTGCCTATCAAATTAATGTCTTCCAGTGTCTACTCGATGCAGGTAGAATTTGGATATAATTTCACCTACAGCTGGATTCCCAAGAGATGTGCCAGCACTCACAAAGCCCGGTGTATGAAGAAAACCTTTGTTAATACGCCCTCACCAGATCCTGCCAGTTATTATTCCTTATTTAACACACCTCAGTGCTGTGCACACAGTAGCCACCTGCCTTTGTGCTTTGCAGCTGAGCTCGGGAAAGCTGAGACTATTCATCCTGCTTTGCAGTGCAGTCAGGTATAAGTTCTGCCGTCTATCATGAGCTCAGCAACCATAGTACACTGGTATGTGAAAGTAAGACTAAACTGTACATTACTTGTCTTTCTATTTAAGCATCTAGATGAGAAATCAAAGCAAACATCTCTTTCTTTATATTTGTGTTTTTCTTGGTATATTTTTTAGGTGATAAATCAGTGATTCTTCTTTCAACCTTAGAAACACACTAGCCTTGCCTGAAATATCTTTCTTTAGCAACAAATGACCTTTACTGTGGTTTATATACGTGCGAAGAATTTAAAGACTGCATATTATTGGAGATGTTCTTTCATCATCTCTGATCTCCCATCATGTCGTATTTCCTTGGAAATTACACATTTAATGAAAAGCAACAACAAAAAGGAAATCACTCCCTTGTGATGGGCATTCTGTAATATTGGATAGTTCTCTGTCACGACATCCTGAGGCATCACTTCAAAAAGAAGACCTGACATAAAAACTCCATTGTGAAGTGTAGAGTGGGGGTGCAAATCTCTTGCTCATCCCTAAAATCGATCTCGGCGCGTCTCATTCAGCATGCCTTCCATAAAAGTTAAAACCGTGAGTCTTTGAAAATACAAAGATCTGGGATAAGGGAACAGGGGGGGTTAATTTATGAAAGGAAATTTGCATGTGAAAACAAAAAACATCATAGTGATACTTTGATCTATTTTTCTTCTCAAATTTGGGGGTCAGATCAGACACCAGGCAGGTCTCTGCTGAACACTTCAAGTACAAATTGGTTTCTTCACAGCATCAGTTCAAGGGATTAAACCAACCTTTGTAGTTAAAGAGTATTGTGATGACGGGAACTGCTCTACTTTGTGGAATGCAAAGTGCCATAGAAACTGTGCTGACTAATAGTGTCAGGGGCCAACATGTGTGAAGCTTGGCTGAGGGCAATGCAGATATAGGGGGAGTCGCATTTCACAGCAAGAGACTTCAATGAAAATATACCGTGAGAATGTCTCGCACCAACCCCATAAAAGATCTGGGGTTCAAGATTCAGATCTGTGATGCTGTTTTAAATGTTTTAACTTTTACATCATGCTAAGCAACCTATAGACCATTTAGAAAACAATTTGTTCCAACTTCATTAAAGTGGTTTTGCAAAGTAAACGCCTTCCATGCCCAGGGTGCACCTGGATATATTGTGATTCCAGGGTGCAGTCCGAAGGAGCTGTCACACTAAAAGCAAGAGTAAGTATGCGTATTTGAATGCCTAGCTAACGCAGGTGCTCAGATCGTGCACACACTTGCAAAACAATTTGCATATGGCGACATGTGAATTGAATACATTACGAATCGGTCTATCTGTTTTGATTGAATACCCACACTGAGGAGAATAAGGATGCCCGCTGAACAAGGTTTCACTGTAAAGTGTTTTTATCGTGCCCAGGATCTTGCTAGCTCAAGTCTTCAGGAGGTGCCTAGGGTGTGACGAAGAAGGTCCGGAAATGTGGTGCACTCTGGAGTCAATTTCTGTCACCCACTTTGCAACCTCCTCCTTTTTAAAAAAAAATGTTGTTTTTTTTTAGTTCATGGTAGGTTTCAATGTAGCCCTGTTCACCCCTCCCATAACCCTCCTTTTCCTTCCAACATAAGAAACTATGGTGAGTCACAGACAGTATGAGTGGACATTCCAGGGCGCAGACACTTTTTCAAGCCTTTGCTCAGCTCGCAGGGTTCACCTTTCTCATGCCCGTGTTTTCTCCCTCGGTTGCCATTTGAGTAATGAGATTACCACATGTAACTGCATTCAAAGAGGAAACAGAATATTTGGCTTCTTCTGTATTTATTTGATTCTTAGCATACAAGAGCCTATCGCACGTCTTTGACAGCTGGGAGTCAAACTTTCTTAGGTGTGCTCATGCTTAAGTGGGCATCTGTGAGTTCAGTGTATTTCATTTCATTCATCTTTCTAGCAACACGCACCGACAAGATCCAGGATAAATCTTCTTGTTTGATCTTTTTTCCCCTTCTCTCTCTCCAAGCCGATATTGCAGTTGAAAGACATCTGCTGCGTTGTCATTTAAAACAAACAGCCAGGCTCTTGGTGAGTGAATTTTTCTTCCATATGTTTGTAGCACAGTGCTGTTTTTAATTTAACACATAACTGCTTGCGACGCCTTTGGACTGTGAATGAAAAAATCTGAAGTGTCAGAAAACTTCTGGTTTCTGAGTTTTGTCTGGTTGGCTAACAATTGGTAAAGTACCTGGCAGATGCACTGCCTGAACAGGAAAGAGTTAAGTGAACCAGTTAAGCACGGAGGATACCACAAAGTCTGTTTAATCTTTTGCTTTTCCCGGAGCAGTATTGGTCCATAACCCATCTGATCTACGTAGTCTCTGACAGAGGTCTTCAGCATTACTGAAGACAACACAAAAACAATTGGGAAAGCTTTTAACAAGCACCTCCCAGCTGTTGAGAGCAGAAAAAAATCAGTGAATCTGATTCCCGTGGCTTAGCTAAATCCTCTCTGTTTGTACAGAACCCTGCCTGTTACCCAACACGTCTGTGCCTCTCGACTGTCCCCACGCCTAGACATAAAGTAACTAACTGAATGGTAGTTACGAACACAGTTAGAGTGACTGTGGATAATGATGTCTGCCACTTGTAATGGAAGACTTTGTCCAGCCTGTAACAATTCCAATTATATTACAGTTATCTTGTAGCCATATTGACATTATCTAGTGGAAGCATGGATTTGTGGCACAGCTCAGGAGAAACGCTTTGCAGTCTTGCACACTGATCTCAGCTGTTTTTCTACTTTACAAAAACAGATCTATTTCGATAACTGATACAGTGGTCTTTCTGCGCTCAGCAAACTACACAACCAGCACCAAGAAAAAGAAGCCGATCACCATCAGGTTATTAACGGACAAAGACTATCTGTGGGTGGGAAAAGTACAGTATAGCTTTCCCTGAGATTCAGTCAGGGTCCTCATGCGTACCTGTGACAAGCCAAGGTGGACAGAAGCTGTCTCAGAGATGTACATGATTTTTCCATCCGAGGCTACAACAAACACAAAGCCATCCAGCGTCTGGAAAAAAAAAGTAAAACAATTTACTGCAAGGACCAGAATAAATTGTTTTTTTGTCTTGGTTTTGCTGCTGTTTCTTTTAAAATTGTTTTCCGCCAAAAAACGTACTTTATGTGTGGTCTCAAAACAATAAACATACTACACCTGCATATCATAATTCCACAGCAAGCTTTCTTTTTTAAAGAGTAATTTTAAAAAAATGATATTTTTTTCATCATTACTGAGTGACTGTCTACAAACAGATTGATCTGATGTTTTGATAAAGAATAACAATAAACTATTTTATAAAGTGCTTTTAAAACTGACTTAATGAGTCCAATTTCAGACCTACATTTGCCAAGAGAGACAAAGTGACAGTGATCAGTGAGGTAAGACCTGACCCATTTAAGAGCAGTGTCAGAAACTCCAAATACTGTCTCGAAACGAGAAAGTAAGATATCATGGTTAACAGTGTCAAAAGCAGCACTGAGATCAAAAAGAATGAGGATAGAAAGAACCAGAATCACAAGCTAATAGTAGTGTTGTGAAGTTGTCGGAAGCTAGATTGGAGGGGTTCAAAAAGGCTATTTGCAATTAATAGTTACATAATGGTTATTTAATTGAATTGCAATAGCACATTCTAGAATTTTTCCAAGAAAGGGTAAATTGGGTGAAAATTGATTAGATTTAGATTGTCCAGAGCCATGTTCGGCTTTTTTGGTACAGGGATTATGGCATCAGTTTTGAGGACCGTTGTTACAACACCAGTGCTTAAGGATTCATTTCTTATATTGAGGACAATGGGGCACAGAGAAGTGAAACAGGATTAAAATGAATAGGTGGGAATGAGATCTAATAGGCAGGTGGTGGATTTCATATGTGAAACCAGTTTAGAAGTACAAAGAACTACAAAATCCTGCCTTTCATATTTAAACTTGTCATTTTTTTTAACCTGAAAATCGATTTCTCTCAATTCTCAGGAAACTGCATTTCTCATCGCAAAATTGTTACCACCTCAATGACACACTGGCTAGAAAAACCAATTGCATGCATTGTCATACAGGTTGTGTGTGTGTGTAAATGACAAGAAAATAAAAACTTTGTAAGAGATACTGTAATTTAAAAAAATCCTTAATCCTATTTAGAGCAGTAAGGTTACAACCCACCTCAGCCCATTTCAGTGCCATCAGAATCAATCCTCCCAGTAAGTACAAAGGCTCTGCCTTGCACATAAAGTCAGCTAAAAATCCCTGTCAATTCTATTAAGAAAGAACCTTTTCATTTTCACATGAAAGTGCATGTGTCTTGGACTCTCTTTTTTTTCCCAATAAGCACAAGAAGAAACCTCTATGCTTCAATTCAATATTAGTCTGAATTATATGCACTAGATAGCTTTCTTACTTGAAGCAGGTGGGATCCCAGGTCTTTTGCCAAGCTGTCTAAGGGATTGAGGCGAGATGGCTGGCCCCAAGCATCTCCTAAACCTGCAACAGAGCGCAAGGAAAATGGAAAAAATGTCTCATCTCCGATTCGGCCTTGTCGTTAATGAAGCTGAAAAGTTTAGTGCAAGGCTGCACTGATCTCAGGATGTTATCATAATGGAAAAAAAAACAGTTATGAGGTTATTGGACGATTCCTACTGCAGTTTCTTTCACAAGAAGGTGGTGAGTTATGCTCCTTTCATTTCTATTACATTTGAATTTCCAGGTTTGATGTATGCAGTGAGCTCATTTGGATAGCCCTGCAGTCCAGTTACCTTAAAAAAATATATAGGCTGCAGTTCAAAGTGTATTCTCTCAGAAATCCTTACTATGGTGTATTGTGTTAAAATCAGAGTACAGCATGGTAAAAGTGAAATCATGGTAAAGCAGAGTAAACAATAGTAAAAATACTGTACAAAAGTATTACAGTATTCTTTTATTAAGAACATGCCACATACAAAATATATCTATACCTTATATTACTAATATTCTTCTATTAAGAACATGCCACATGCTAAATATCTATACTGTACCTTATTATTTACAGTATACAGTACATAACATAAGTTTATCAATAATTGTATATATCAGACCATATTGTATATTTGGACACTTCTGTAACAAAGATCTTAATTGCTCAGCCAAGGTCTGATACAGTCTAACATTCTCTCACAGCAGAAAGCAGGACTATTCAATGGTGGGAAATGACCTGTTGTGTCCTAAGATTTGACATTATTCCAACCTGATACAAGAAGCTCAAATCAAGCACCTGAGAAACAGTTCCTTCCTTAAGGAAGTGTCTCTGAATTTACTCATCACGGAAATCAAAGGGTAAGCAGATGGATCTGTAACAGATAAATATTTTCCATAAGATCTAGGCTGCCTGACTTGGCTGAGCTGTAGCCATTTGGAAACCAAGACTTCTCTGTCACTTACACAGTAAATAAAGATCTAACATATGTTAGAGGGAAAAGAGTAAACAGAAGCATTAACCAAAATGCTTATTTTGGTGGTCCTTCAAAATATTTTATAAGCTGTTTGCCTCTACATGGTCACAAGCACAATGATTTGCTTTTCAAGTCTCAGTCAGCACAACTTCAAGAGCTACTTAAAATACATCATTTTCTGGGTGTCAGATGTGCTCTAGTGACTACCCAACAGCAATATCGCAAGACAGTTTTATATTGCTGTAGTCTATTTTAAATATACATCCCTCTGTTGCTACAAGCAGCATTAATGAAGTGCGTATGGCCTCTTTCAAAAAGCATTAGCTCGATGGCAGCTCTTATTTCCCCTCTCAGGTTTATTCCATTCAATGCACTTTCAGAAAACCGATCAAGGAATTCGAAGGAAGCAGATGAAGCCAGAGGGCTACACCAAAAGCTTAAACACTGAATTAAATAATAAACTTTTCATTAACATAATTTACTGCACAGGATGACAAAAGGTGGACCCATGGTAGTTGTGCTGATGGGAAATCATATTAATATGATAAACAAGACAAAGGAAAAGACGATTGCTTCCGGGAATTCTGGAAATTCTGTTTTCCAGTGTGAAAGTCAGGCTGGATTTATGGGGTAATATCTGAAGTTCTTACTTAGTTTAAAAGTTAATTGCTAACCTGGTTAATGCCAGCTTTAACGTGCAGGAGAAGTCTTTCAACCTATAGGGAGACGAGCAGTCTTTCTGGAATTGTTTCACTTCACAAAGGGGGAATCTGTATTCCCTTTGCTTTTATTACCTTAGTTTCATTTGCTGTGTGATAATTTATAGGGTGGTATGATCACTCAAACCAAACAATTAAAATACGTGACGGATACCTGCCAGACAGCAACTCATGTAGACAAGAGCAAAGTATTACACACAGGTAGCAGAAAAAAAAAAACACAAGAAGTGAAACAGAACTTGAAGAAACCACTTCTGAAATCATCACCTAGCTCACATTCTAGAAAGTGTGGGGTGCAATACAAAAGGCAAACAGAATATTATGATATATTGTAAAGTTAAGTGTAGTTAAAAGAACTTATTTACAATACACCTTTGGTCAGCACTATGCTAGGAAAAAAATATATTGCTGCTCTGATGTCCAACCAAAGACGAGTAAATAATTGTTGTGTCACTGAACAGTCTCTAACAGCCATGGTTTGCTATCCAAGATTTAAACTTTCTGGGCAAAACAGGTCCTCAGAGCCATATACAGCTCAATAAATATCTTAGTCTGTGTTTACTACTTAGACCTATAATAAATATTCACTGTTCAATTTGGTGAACAAGGTTTTGGCCCTGTTTACACAAGTAAAGAACGATGTGACAGCATAAAGAAAATGGGGGAGAAAAAATCTCTTCAAGTACACTTGTGAAGACAAATACTTTTGAAATCAATCACGAAGCGTGTTTGAGAAGTAATTTGTGGAGCCTGTAACGTAGAATAATATTTGAATCAAAACCGTGCCTTCACTGTGGTACTGTATTCCACTAATGATAACGTTTTCTCTTTTTCTTTTTAATACAATTCTAGCTCTAGTATGATTTAATTATGTAGAACACAGGGTAGTAAGAAAATTGATTTGCTAGTTAGCAGACATATTTCAATATGAAAGTTGCAGCTATCGGCTTTGAAGAAAACGGATCCAAAATAATCTTAGAACTGATAAACGGCACGTCAGTATAAATTGTAAATTATATGCCACATCTACGCCTAGAACGACCATCGCTCTGCTCGTTGTCTCTCTGTATCCTAGCATCCAGCCTTTATAGTAACGCCAGCCACGTTGCGTATGAATTTTAGGAAGAAAGGGTACTTCGCGTCTTAAAATCAGTCAGCTAATTTAAAGATTTCACAGGAAAGGCATTAAAAACAGTCAACCATAGGTGACCGGCGTGTTCCGAGACTTACATTCACACTGGGGGCGTGCTGCGTCTCGTGCTCACGTCTGGGCTAATTCTGCGCTTCAGACATTATAAGGTGTTACTTTGTAGAAATATTATTTTTAATGTTTCACATTTTTTGGAGTGGCTAGTCATATCCGTTTTAAAGCGTTCACACGCCAAATGGAAACATGCCGCAATTGTATGTCAAACGGGGACAAAAGTGTAAAAAATCACCTTCGTCATCTAATATTTTATTATCTAATATTAATATAAGTGATGTTAAAATGTAAGTTGTTGTCAGATACACGTTGACATTTTTACAAATAACGGACTCCCGAAGTGTTAACCAAGCACCAACCTGTCAGTTTTGTTCGCAGTTTTGCATTCCGTCGAATCATGAAACAATATAAAACCGTCAGTTTAACGTATTGTACATTCACACCATACATCATTCAATTCAAAATATATTTCCCTACAGTGTCTAAACCATCACTCAGCCCAGGAGGAGCTACATGCTGTATACGGAATTAATTTGTCTAATCCCGGTTCTTCATCATCAACCGTCGCGTTAAAACGTCTGTCCAGTACAAATAATATAGAAAGCTATTCGGAACCTGTAATGATTAAATACCCTTTCGTGAGGCTGTTTTGTTTTGTTTTCTTCGTTACTGTACACTCAGGCGCTTTCAGTTATTTGCGTATGATGTTTGCTCAGTCTGTGTTTACCTTCTCTGTCTAAAATATCTCAGGTAATCACCCAAACACCAGCCAAAAAATCGCATGACAAAGGTTAGCTGAACTATTGCTCGAAATAGGTTTCACCTGCAATCCCTTTGACCGCGGCTCTCTCGTTCAGTCTTTCACCAGATTAACGGGATGTATTTAAAAGGGTATTAATATTGTGGAGTTAGATGCATTATATTGTAAAGAGTGTACATATTAACGGGGCCATCATTGAAACTGGCACTACCACTCACTGAATATTTCCTATTCGTCATCAAGCGCCGTGCATGTCTAGAATTAACCCTACCAAGGCGTTGAATACGCGTCCTTAAAGTGGCATACTTCATATCAGAAACACAATTTCCTCCACGTACAGTAATCCAAAAGTGATGTCAAAGGTTCAGATTTGCTGATCCGGACAGTTTGCGTTCGTTTTAGATCAACAGAAAGCAAAACGTTTTCACACCCCGAACAGTTGGAATCTGCGTGGCTTTCTAAAACGTTGGCTGGGTTTCGCGATAACAAAAGCCTCTACCTCTCATAATTAAAATTTTGTATTTATTTAGAAATCCACTACGAGGTATCTTCTTGATTCTAGCTTTTATTTGGGGGAAAATTAGAGGGAAACGCAATGATGAAACACTTCAGCGCCTTCTCCCGTCGAACTCTCCGGCCATGTTACATTCTGAGTGACAGCAGGCGGGAAACGCCAGGACACGTGACTAGTGCGGCGAGTGTGAGGTTGTTCTGCTATATTCGGCTTTTAAGAAACTAGGCTACCTTTGTGGAGGTATGTAAGATGAAACAGTTTGTAGCGAATGCATTGCTAATAACCTTTTTTTTTTCGTCCACAGAATTTGAGCTTCGATTTATAGAGGCGATGAAGTTTTCCAAGTAACCTAACCACGTATTTCAGGCCATGTACACAGGCGAACGCCTGAGCAACTAATATAAACATTATTTAAACTCGACAGTAAATTCGACAGTACTTTTTATCGTATACAATGTGTCACTTCACTTCATCTAACCTAAATATGTTGATTAAATGTATGTCGAACTGAACATTTTAATTTGCACTTTACAGACTTAGCTTTGTAACTTTTAAGATGGAGCCTAAATTAAAAATAAGAACGTTGGAGTCTATTATACATTAAATCTTGCAACGAATTTTACGTCCGATATATCATGCGTGATCTGAAATCTGCACATAGCCCAACTGCTTATTAGTGCTTTACAGGAAATGAAATAGCAATCTTCTTAAAAATAAATTCAGTTCTAAAAAAATGTCTGATTTTCCTTTTTCAATTGTATTTTCGGCGACTGGCCTTTCTGTGCTGTTGCTTTACGTTTAAATCAATTTTCCTGTTACAACGATGTAAGGCTTCATTTGGTCAAATATAACTAGAGAAGACAAATGCAGGTTCAGACCTGAGAAATGTCGTAAACACAAATTTTACTATATAATTTCCTTTCTTCATAAGAATATACCTCTCATTCTTGCCTAAAAGTATTTAGCTTAAAGTAAAGTATTTTACATAACACTTAAACTAAAAAAAATAGCACTCAAAAATCGGTAAATCGCAACAGAACGAATAAGTTCTTGTTCAATTTTAACATTGGTTACAAATAAAACTATTTCGATGTTTTTCGCAAATACGTCTCGAGAAAGCTTAAAATTTGGATTCGCACCCCAGTGAATGTTAACATTTACAATATAAATGAAAAATTAGTTCTGCCTTGTTTATTTGTTCTTATTTTATCTCCTAACCAATAAAGACGTTTTTGAGCCACACTTATTGAAAACAGGAGGCATGCCGGTGTATTATACTGTAGGTCTATACGGAAATAGAGGTTTTGGGGTCTGAATCACCTCAGACCTCCTGCAGAAGTGATGATATTATTAACAGCCGTCAATCGTGATGAATGATAACATTTTAGTGAACCGCTACAAACTAAGCCTGGAAAACTGAAAGTTGTTGATCGTTGGATTCAGTAGATGTGACGAATCATGACACCTATGGCATAGCTTTCCTTCACATTTAGAGATGAGGCCTGTAGCCGTCTATTGTTAGTTTTTTTTTAATTAAAATGAATGAAAATAATGATTCGGTAATAAACAGAAATGTAATAAGTGATCATTCGATTTTAGATTTTTTCGGAAAAAATAGCTCTGAAGGAGCAAAATTTCTGTCCACCGATTCTGTTAGAATTTCAATGTCAATTTTAATTTGTTCTTTAATGTATTTTTTTCTTCTTTTAACTAAATATGCATTTAAACAAAACGGTTACGCCTATGACCATACATCCTTTTCTATAATTATCATTTGAAATAAATTGCACAAGACGCTCTAGGCTCAACCACTCGTGTCCCATTAATTTAATACAGAATAAATTTTAATTAACATGTACGTTTTATTGCAGAAACATGCTTGCGATGAGCCATCTTAGATTGCATTTATTTTTCAAAGTTTACATTTATTGAAACCTGCTGATTTATAGCTATGCAAGCCTAGGCTATAGAAACAAACTCCCATTGATAACTTTAATCGTCATTCGTAAACGCTCTGCTGAAATTGCTCACGGACGAAGGTGCTCACAAATGCGTTTAATGCGTTTCCTTCAATTGTTTTTTATTACAAAATGTCAAATATTTCTAAACTTTTTTAAAGTGAGTACTGAAAAAGAGCACTTCGAATAAAGCCGGTTTTGTGGGTGTAGTTCAACAGACTTACTGTACCTGAAAAACCGACCTTGTCATGTCAACTAAAGTCCGTTTAAAGTAGCTTTACCGAATGAACAAAAAATCCTTAACAGTTCGTAACCCACCATTAACGAGCCCATAAATGTTGTAAAAGCAGGTTTTCTTTTCTACAGTTTAAGCTCTATGACATTATGACTAATGACATTTTAAGAGAGGAAGAGGACCCTTTTGAAAACAGACATTACTAAGTACTCGTTTTATTTGCACCAATTGGATGATTTATTTTCATTATTGAGAACAATGTCCTTAAAGTAAGCAATACCAGGACTAGATTTTAGTCTTTACTCCCCCCCTGGGGATTATATATTACACAGGGGGTTTATATAAAATCATTAGTTTTTAATTAATTTTGAATGAGCTGAAACTGATGTAACAACGATAGATTATGTTTTTTTAGGGCATAATCAATTCAGCGATTATGGTTTAAATTGGAGAAATCTACCGTTTTCACCCCACCCCCACGATTTATTCCTATAAAGGATGAATTTATTTAGTCGCCTGTAAAACATTAACCAGGTTTTAATTAAACTTTTAAGCTGTTAGTACTGACTGCTGTCACAGAGTACATAAGACTACAGGCGTGAATCCATCAAGTGACTGTTCCTGTTGACATTGTGGCACAGAACAAAGTTCTACGATTGAGCAACAGGGAAGGGATTTTAAAACAGGCATTTTAAAAATGCAACCAATTTCACGATTATTAACAATTTAATGGCGAACTGGTGCAAGTACATTCTATGATTTTGTGTAGTGATTTATTTTGTCAGGGCCAGTCACTTTCAATATACATACTACTTTCAATTTCATACCTGTATCTGTCCCGTTTCTAAGCCTCACGCTAAAAAGCCCGTTCAGTTTATATAGATTCGGGGCAAGTTTAATTTGTAAACGTGGAGTTTGCCCCAATACCTGCTTCAAATTAGTGTCTTTTAAAAATAATTTCCACTTGTGTTTTATTTCGGGGATTGTGCCCTCCGGTTATTGTTATTTTGTAATAATTAAACACCAACTGCCAAGGGAAAGATTAACAGACAATATTCAAATCTGAATTTAACTAGTTAATCAATAATAATACACCTAAGCACGTCCCAAAGTAATGCTTTTTTTCCGTGACCTAAAAGATCTTGCCATTAGCTTTTGAAAAAAATGAGGAAAAATGTATACTTTCCTTAAGCGGTCCGATAGTTAAATATTTAGTTGCGGGGTATTTTACATTTTAATTTAAATGAATGAAACGACGCCCCGTCTTTTTTACACTTGACATTCATTTTCCTATTGAATATTTTCAGAGCCTGCACATAGCTTTTATGCTGAACATTTACCCCCCCAGTGAGAAATACTCAGCATTGTAATTGAAAAATAGTTTTGGTAGCCGCTGTTGCTGTTGTGCAATATGCAGTTTTTGTAAGTGTATGCCGTGTATGTGATTCAGTGGCAAATTCCACAGTGGTGTTTTATTCGAACTCACCTTCGGGAAACACCGCTCTCATCTTCAGGTAGCTGGTGGTCAGTCGTATGATGGAAGCCTTATCCAGCTGGGAGGTGATAGCAGAAGGCAGTGGCAGTAATTTCGCCAGTTCGTAGAATTCTCCATTTTCCTTTTCTCGCCTTGTTTTTGCTGCATTCTTAGACTTTTCCTTCATCTCTGGGCGCTAATGCAAAATAATGCCACCGGGCATAATAAAACTCCTTCTTCAGTTCCAGGACGCTGAACTGCTTACCTTGAATTCCTTTATCTTTGAATCGGAAAACACTCGTAGTGATCAGCAGAATCCATCGCCGATGTCGCCGATTCTCGTCTCATCGTATTTTGCGTGAATCCTTTGGAAACCTCAAATGCGCCAAGAACAATAGAGCCCCTTCGGATTCTTGATCCGAGCACCTTCTCCGAAGAATAAAATGGGTATTTTGCTGAACAGTGGGAACATTTTCAAAACAGTTCATTTTTCAAGAAAGAAAGCTTCCCGTGTATACATTTGCAACGCACCGATTAACAAACGTATACAGTACGGCCACTAATATTCTACATAGATAAATCAACCCGTGGTGTAAGGCTGGTTTACCTTGGCTACCGGCCACGGAAAGTTAACAAATTAGAAGGCTTGCGATAGTAATAGTTGCCTATCACAGTTCGCGCAGTCTTTGAAGAAAGGCAAACGGAATTTAAAGTGCACACAGATTTCCATTTTGAATTGCAGTCGGAACGGAGTGAGTTCTAGTCGAGCTGTCGGTGTATATCTGAAATCAAAATACGGTAGATAACTATTTCCAGTCTTGTAACGTCAGCATTTGAGAACCCGGTGAAACGTTTCTGGTCTGATCGCTTATCGAATGTGAAGGCGCTGCGCGCTCGGCTGTGCTTGCAGGGTCTCGGATTAGTTCAATTTGAAACTCTTCAAAACCCAGATTTCTTTGAGCCGCGAATGACCTCACTGCAGGACCGGAGCTCCGGCGGGCAGACTGTTTCCGGCACACATAGCGGGTCAATTTAAGGGTTAATTCTCAGTTAGAATTGATAGGTTATGAATGGCACCCCAGACAGAGCACCACTATTTCACTTTTAGAAGTTATCTTGAGACCCTAGCCCCGGAGCTATCATCTCTTAAAAATGCCAAATGTGGGGTTTCGGAATAATTTCTGCATATGCCCGCGATGTCAGCGTTGTCACTGTGATAACCTGCGTGGATCAACACTTTATCGTATGATAGAACAAGACTGGAGACATCTGTAATCTGCCGTTTGAAAAACGTACGTGCAGTGGACAGCTTCTTTAACTGATCAGTGACAGGCGCTCTTTTGCCTCGGTATCAGGCATGAGCATGTAAAAAAAAAACGATCTCGATCCAAAGCGATCTCCGCAATTAGATTCTTCGGGATCTATTAGGTCCTCAGACCGTCAGATTCCTAATTCTGGATCTTCGCTCCTCGCAGGCAAAAAATTACTTCGCAGACAGCGAGCGAAATCACTTGTAGCTGCCGACCGCTGCAGTTGACGGTCACTGCGATTTCCCATCCCCGACGGCCGCTATACAAAGCAATCATGGCGCTCCATCACCTGCAGTAATTGCTCCTTCCCGAGACGGATCCTTTCGGATGCATTGTTCGAGGTCGGCAATTCGAAAAGATGGAATGATCTTCTCCACAGCGCCCGCTAATTCCTTGCGCTGGATCGAGCGGTGCTGACGGAGGGAGGCGGGGCGCGCAAGCGAGGGGGCAGACTTCCTCACGGCGACGTCAGGGTGTCACCTCGTCCTGCTTGAAGTGTCCAGCCGATTGTAACGTGCTACAATGAGAAAGGAGGAGTGGACATTAATAGGGCTTTTTATCAGTGGTAAGAGCGCCCGCTTTGCAATATCGTATTGTTTTGTTCCACTGTCGCATTATTCTTACTTCAATCGGAAACCGCATTACCGCATTCTGAGAACTGAACGCATAGGTATATCGTTTTTGTATTTTTTGCCCCATAATAATATTTTTAAGATACCGCAATGGTCTCCAGAAAGTTTTGTTAGCGTACTGTGCGTCACTAAGAAATTCTAATACCGTACTTCGCCGATACCTTCATTTGATCTCGAATACGATGGCGCGGGAACGTCGCCTATTCTTCAAGGGCTGCTCAAATAATGGTCTTGTTCCCCCTTTCCTTTTTGTAGTATATTAAAAACTTCATATTCCTACAACCAAACTGTTTTTGCCTGCGAGCCAGTGTTTGTTCATAGTTAGGACCACGCATGGAGGACACCTAGCATGTATATATATCCTTCGAGTTCTTATATTGTGATTGAGCTCAGATCATTGTGGAGAGAAACAAAAAATCATTTTGCGACCATGTGCCCCGAATTATGCGCCATGTCTTGGTTTTCTGAAGTCTGGTCCTTAGATGGTTTATGTATGCAGTTTTCAGACGCTCCATGCGCGCAGCCTCATTGGTCCCTATGTATGCAACGGCACGTCTGATGGTGCACCAGTTTAAGCCACGATTTAACTACCGTTGCGCTAGAACCAGAGAAGTTAAAAGGTTTTATATACACAAAAGATAGATTTCCACGCTCTTGTGCTCAGAATCTGTTTTCCCAAATTTAGCCCTCGTGCTTTAGTCTACGCAAAATTGAATACGATTATGTTTGTTGATTAAATTAAACAGCTTTATCAGACGCGTCCTCGGGTTCCGTAGAGGGTGACGCTACGCGCTTGCTTCGCTCCCAGCAGGAGTCGTGAGGAAATATTTGTGTGACGTCTTGCATTTACCTTTTAAAACCTTAGGAGGATCTCGAGACGGTACATTTCGACTGTAGCTTAAATAAACTGCCGTCTTTGCTAGAGTGTCAACGTTTTTCCCCCTTTCACAGACGAACACAAGGCGGGCAGTCAAATTACTTTAATCAGAGTAATATGTACGGGTTTTTTTTTCCTCCTCCAAATATGTGCAACTTTGTCATCTATGATCTCCTTTAAGCCTTGCTGTTATTAATCCGCTGGATGTGTATGCTTTATATCGCAGCAGCTGATGACGTTAAACACTGGTAACTTCTTGAGAGTCTAAACCTGAAGGCGTGTTCTGCTGGAGTGAAGTCACGAACTGTATGAGCTTGCTCGGTCGGACTTGATTTGGAAGTATGCTAATTGAAGCGTGATTCAAAATTATGTGATTACATTTGAGCATTTTCTACAGACGTTAGTTGCCATCGAGTGGAGTGCTACAGGGCATATTTTAATTATTGTTAGACGCAGCGATTGCATTATTGTTTTACCGTAACTGGTATTCTTTTTGGAAACCTGGCCTTTAGGATAGTTGATTCATTTTAATGTTTATATGAATCTTTATAGTCGGCGCATTCAAATGGATTAGCTGAAATGTCTCCAGTTTCACTTTAGCAAATACAAATATCATCAATGAATAATACCCCTTTGTATGTGTATTATTGAATACAAATAAAAAGTAAATTGTCAAAAATGATTCCCCCCCCCCCAACATTTATAGATGCGAAAAATGGAACTGTAATTCTGCGGGTTAAAAGTATGTTATGCCTGACCGGACCGGTTGAAGTGAAGTCGACAATAGGCTGACCAAAATATTTATTGCGATTGATTTATTGCGAAATGGAAAGTATTATCCTAGAGTAATTACTTACATTCACTAATGACTATTCTCATTACATAGGTAATTACACAACAATATTAAGAACATATATAGTGTTTTCTTGAAACTTTAACTGAGTTTATAGTTGATATATTTTAATTATAATAATTATATTATAATTATATGATTACGATTTTATCAAAGTTTTGTTTGACAAATCTATTTATTCCCTTTGTTACTGGACTGGAAATAGCTTTGCTTTTTTAACTCTTTAATTAAAATAAGTTCACAAACTAATTATTCTAACTATGTATAAGAAACAGGGGTAACGAAACCAGGTGTAACATTTTCCTTATTTCAGATGCATTCCTGTATCTAGATAACGATAGGTTGCTTAAAGGATATGGGTAGTTATGTCCCTTTCATCTTAATTTAAGTAAAGCATTTATGCAGCATTGATAGAGAAGACGGGATCGACCCGATAAAATGTAAGTCAGGCAATGTTTCACTTCCAGTCTTCCGATAATTCCCAATTATTTTCTTAATTTTAGGGGGAGACGAGTTTTTAGAATGAAGTATTTACGATTCGTACTCAACAGGTGCTTAGTACTGTCTTACGTGAGTTACCTGTGTCAGTTACTGAAAATATATAATTGAACACACATTGCTCTAGTACTATCGACTATCCAAAACTGAAAATGTTGAAGCTCTTTCTGTAGGCTATGTAAAAGGCTGTCCATCTGAGCCCTGCTTTCTAATTACTGACCTCACCAAAGGCGAGCAGACACGCGTAAAACACGTGCCCGTTTTACAACGAATATAATGGATTTTTTTAATGACAGAATTATTTTCAGCTAAAGTTATTACTTATTCTACTCTTATACAAATTTGTTTTTTCTTTTTGGAGGTTCATTCAGATCACGCTCAACACTGGGTAGCACCGCGATGTAATAATGACCTCCAGTCTTTGAAGCGACCTGCTGACGCCCCTTCGAACTAGAGACTGGAGCTTTTAACCAATTCCTTAAGGCGCATGTAGGCATCAACCACGTCGTTAAAAACAACAAGGAAAGATTATTCTTTAACATGCGTTAATATGTTACATATATAGTATGTAGTTATGCGTAGAGGTCTAAGCAATAGTTTCACGGTGAACGTCTAACGCAAAATTGCGATATGATTTTAAATGCACATACTGTAGTGTCCCGCAGGTAAAACTCCTTTTTTTGTTCCTGCAGGCATGAAGAAAACCTGAACTCGACTCCCAATTTAGCAACAACTCCCCCACCTACATTCACAGGAGATAAAATGTGCGGTTGTGGCGGAGGGGGGTGTCTTCATTGCTTAATTTATCCCCCGCAGCACCACCACCTCCGCTCCAGTCTGCTCACTAAATAATCCGCATATATTCTGAAACACAACCGCGTCACCTTTCACTCGCGTGAAATATTTAACTGGCAATGAACACCATACTTGCACCTCCAGCCTGAAGAAGTGCGCTGTATTGGATTCTATCCAGGCAGTCTATCTGCTGTCTGTGATCAATTAACACATATATAAACAATATGCAATACAAAAAATTACTGAATACGAACAATAATCAGTATTTCCTTGTAGACAATGGTAAGATGTGGGATATAGTAAAAACAGGGAAAAGGAGAAATGTTTTCACTCCCAATTAAGCCTCTTTTCAGCTGTTTACAATTGCTTTTACGGTCTTTGTAATCTATAGTGCGAACAGGAGATTGGGGACGTGTTTGCATGGGACTTTTCAGATTAGAATAAATTTAATTAGAGAAGCCTTTGGGTGGTCTCTGAACTTTTTCATCGACTCTTATCTCCATTATTATTTATTATTAAATTACTGTTATTAGTAATTGAGAGTTAGGTAATTATAATTAAGAGTGGAGGATTTAAATATTCTTATAGGAGGTCAATTACAAATTAATGTCAGGGTGAAACAGAAATAGTAGCAGATAGGTAAAATGCGAAAGTAGTAGAAAAGCGTTTTTTTAATTATGATTGGATAACAATCCTTGAAAAATGTAGGCCTAGAGTGATTAAATTGCTGGCTACTAACGGAAAGCATGTCTCTCTTTGAGAGCATTTTTACTATAAAGTCATAAACATTTAATGGCTGTAATTAAGAGTAGTTTTTACGAGCGTATCTTTGTCGGTTGCGTACAGTATGTGTTCATGTGCACCTAGGGTATATATTTTCAATCATTCGTGAGTGATAGCGATGCCCGCAAGGACTGTAAATGTTTATTATTCGAAAAAGCTCATATATCCCGAAAATAAAATACTAAACCGAAACGGTCGCGCTATATAATGTTTCACCACGAACAACCCCACCCAATAACTAATACTCGTGTCGAAACAGCTGTTTGCGCAATCTCGCGTTTGTGGCATTGTACAGCGACTTGAGACAATGTGCCATCCAAAACAGTTGCATACAACCAAGGTACAGTAGCTGCTGGGAAAACGAAAACTCTAGATGGGTGCTAGTGATACGCGTTTTTAGCCTGTGCTGCTTGCGCCAGACAAGCAGGGGTCATTCAGAGAAGTCCTTCTGGACAGAGTTAGAGGGCATGGTCCTTGCCGATCCTGCCTCGGAGGAACACAAGTGACCCCTCTCGCCAAGTGAAAGGGGTCTGTCACCATCAACGCAGAAGACAGGCCAGTGCGCGTCCTGGAGTGATCAATGATGTTAAGAGGAAACTGATACGAGATCCTATTTGTCTCGACGCGAATTTCCCTTTTTCAAATAGCGAGTTAAAATCTTTGCAGTGTCTACTTCTGTATAGTACTTTTTTTTTTTGTTTTATAGCACCTCTCGAAAAATCTGGACCATTCGTGAACGTCAACTGAGAAAAAGCCTAATCAGGGTATCAGATATATGATGAGAAGGGCACATTTTCGTATTGCTCTCTTTAACTCGGTTTCTGGATGTAGTGAATGAATGATCTTGCAATCCTTCCCGAACTCGTTTTTATGCACGATCGGAAACATTTAATCTCTATAGGATGGGACTGGGGTCATAAACATTTGTCAAAATCTTCTCAAGGATTATGTAAGATTTATTATTAATATTAATAAGATGTGTTATTAAATATGTGTGGAAGTGGGATTAAGGTTACAGAGGCACTTTCCCACTTGGTGTTTTTCAATTAAGCAAGGCTCGTGTTTTTTTTTTCTTACGAATTCTTCATTATTCCCACATATGGCATTTAAAAAAAACTGAGAAGGATAATTACCCCCTAGAAAATATCTGAGCCCTTTACAAGCTGAAGGGCAGCATTTTCATAGTTTAATCATTTCCATTTATTTATGTTTCCACACTGGCTGTGATATTCAGGCTATCGCTTACTATACTTCTGTCATTACTGATGGATGAAGATATCGAAACCCCCGATATGGAAAATTCAGAGATGCTGAGTCCTGATCTTTTCTGGCCAAGTCGGGTGGTTTCATAAACCATCTGCATCTACCCTAAAAGAGATTAATTTATTTTCATTGGACTGTATGGACGTATTTTAATAAACATTGCAAATACGTGCTGTCTCTTGATACGGCTATTTTCAGTTTCTGATCACTATAAAACCGAAGACCCTCCCTCCCAACACCTCTGCACCTCCGGACCTGTATACTTTAGAATCTAGTTTTGTAATTTTTGTCTCGTAGTCCTTTGTCTTTGACATGGTGGTGTAATTTGAAAAAAATGTAATGTGAACGAAGCTGTTGTTTCCGTGCGGTTCGTTCGTTAGGATCGATTTATAAAATAGCATTCAGAGCAAGAGTTTGGTGACGACTGTCACATCGTACCTTCGTCTATGTCGATGCAAAATTTACACAGCACAATATTCTGAGAATAAAGCTTGCATTCACGTT